TATTGTTGTTAGAAGCCATTGATCTTGAACCTTGCTCTGATACCCACTATGATGGGACAAAAGCTAGAACAATGGAGCTTTCAAGAGACTGAACTTGATTTATTGACCACAAAACACAAAACAAATGAAGGAAAATGTATACTACAACTTGAAGGCTTTGATTTCAGTATATTTTGCTTGATTTTAAAAGAGAAACAAGTCTCTATTTATAAGCTACACCCTTGGTACGAATTTACTAATATTCATCTCCCTTTTCATGGTTCATCTCCCCAGATATGATTCATCTCCCTTAACATGATTATCTCCGTAAAACAACCATTATTGTAAATCCAAAAGTCACACAAGAAAATACATTAACCATAATCAACTATGCATGTATGTAGGACCACACATGTATGTAGGAAAACAAAAGAATCTAGCTTAACATTCTAAAAAGAAATTAGGAGATGAGTGTCAATTTAGTTTGAGAAAAAACTAAAAGCAAAGTATTTAAATCTCAGATTATCCTTTCCTAAAAGCATCTCCAACCGTTGTGCATATATTTTTGTGTAAATCTGATCTGTCAGAGTAAATTTATATAAAAATTTTGTACTATTTATTTTTACCTCCAACGGTTGTTTTATACCCTTTGTGTAAAAAAAATATCCTCCAATAACAACCAACCACGTGTCATACCCAAAACCCTACATAATTTTTACAAACCTATTTGATTCACTTTACTTTTTCGCCATTAAACCTCAAGTCCCAATCCTCCTTAATTAGGAAAAAAATAATAATTTCCTCCTATATTTCACTTTCCCATCCCGCCAATAGCAAACCTTTCCCGCCACCACCAGAATTCTAATTTAATAATAAATAAAAAAATAAGATTCAAGTATGTAGAAACTACCAAAAAGATGTAACAACAATTGCGATTGAATTGACTAATCGCCAAAAAAGGAAAAAAAAAAAAATAATAATTTGTATAACTGTATTAAACAACAATTATATAAAAACTTGATTAAAATATATATCTAATATTTGGCTAGTACATATTTATCTCATTAGAATAGAATGTAAAATGATAAAAAATCTAAAAAAACCTAAGAATCTATGGCGATGATTGCAGAAGATAAGATTAAACGAAAATGATGAATCAAACTATTTTTATTAAAAAAGAAAAATAAAAGATGGTCGAGTAATTCTTACCTTGCCGCCAGTTACAGATTCTTCTCTATGACGCTCTAGAAAAGTAGGAAACAAAGACGCGTAAAGGACTGAGAGAGAAGAAAGAGAGCCGCGAGTGGGAAAGGGGGAGGAGAGAGAAAATATGTTTACATGGTTGTGTAAAAGGGTGGTATAAACTACACAACCTTTTTACACATTAGTTATGTGACAGTGTATCTTAACATACTATTGGAGATGAAAAAAAAATTTATAAATCATATATAACAATGTATATTTTACACAAAATAATTTTTTAAAAGACCGCTCGGGATGCTCTAAGAAACTACATTTATATGACTGTAAAGAGTTAAATTTTAACCAACCTTAGTAGTGTGCACAGTTGCGCAGTTATCGGAACTCCAATCACTGTTGTCTCTCTAGCCTTATATGTTGCATGCTCACTGTTCCGGATCCAATAATCATTTTCTTAATTGTGGTAGATTGATTCCAATCCTAGAATTCCTTAATTAATTCCTTCATTTATGTACGACCATAGATTGATTGGTTGTTCTTTCCATACAAAGCTAATTGTAATTAGATTGATTGACTGTTCCAGCTTCCTTACAAGACTAATCGTAACTTGTATATATTATTAAGTCGTTCCTTCCGTACAAGACTGATTGTAACTTAAATATATTATTAAGTCATTGTTCTAATGAATCATACTGAATAAATTGTTCATTTCGTTGTCTTAATACACAAAATTTGTTACTAAAGAATGAAAAATTATTTCCTAACTTACCAACAAAAATAACCTCCTACGTTCATCTCTACTCAACAAACTAAAACAGTAGCCATTAATTATTTATTCCACTACAACAGTTTTCAGTAATTAAGTGTTTGAATCCAAATAATGATTAATTCCTCTATAACAGTTTGCAGCAATTAATTGTTAGAATCCAAAATCACCACCCCAACGATAAAATTTCATATAACAAACTTGGACATATGTTACAATCCCTATTCAAACTCATTTCAATACGAGTACTAACGGTCTTCAAAAATAACAACTAAAATTCATTCAATTTGCAGGATCAATGGTTGGCGAATCCCATTTAACTAGAAGCCCTATTATCATTAGCACCAAGTTCGTTAAACTTGGTGCACTATCAATTTACTCCAATATCCCAATTCCCAAATATAAACTTACTTTTCTTTTGAGCAATGATAATGTAATTTAGTTTTGTGATTTTAATGTATTGACAATTTTCTTTTATAATACAAATTCATATATCTCTTACACCAGACGTATAATCATATGAATTGCATTTTTATGAATATGACATTTTTTGTATAGTAGTCATAAAGAAGCAACTCACTAGCATAAGAAATTTGCATAGTTCCATCATCTCATTTTGACTTGATTATAATACCCTTGTGGACCAGGTTTAGAGTTGAGTAGCATTTAGCATTTAATTTCTTTTAGAGAAAATTAGATTTTAGTAGCTAAATTTAAACAGAATTGCCTAAAATGACCACACAGTTAAGAAAAGATAGATAGTGATCAAAGTTTTAAATTTAAATTCTGTTAAAATTTATTACATAAATATCATTCTTATAATAAATCATTTAAACAAATGTAAATAAATAATCCTCTTTGTTTGAATAGAAAACATTTTCTGAAAAGAAAAAATTGTTTTATCTTCTATTGTCCTCTAAAATCCTTCCGAGGATTTGGCAACATATGAATTTTGGGGAAAATACCTGGGAATAAAGTAGTGCACAAGGCTAAAGTGTACAGTGGTTGTGGTGATGTGTTTTTTTTTTAAGTAAACTTTCCAGTCTAAAGACAGCAATCAACCCAACATTTATCAAATTTTCTTGAAAAATATATATGTTTTAAACAAAGAATATTTCCATGGGAAAAGGTTATCCCAGAACAAAATTATTTTGACTTTATTTTACATCAATAAGTACATGGAATGAGGATAAGGACAGGGAATGAGAATGCCGTGATACTTATTGAGGACAATAATAACATGTCCATGACAAAAATCGAAGTTGTTCAAGGGTTTGACGAGATTGAGGAATGGGAGAGAATGAGAGAGGTCAATTTTTTTAAAAGAAAACAATGATTTTACAAATTATCCTTCAAAAGTCACTCATTGGCATTTAAGTTTTTAATTTGGTGCATATTTAATTATTTTTTTTTATTGACTTTGTGGTCGCTTTGAAGCAATTTTAGCGATTTGGTGACTAAGATCTAATTTTTTCTTTTGTTATATGGACGCTCTACTATGGGGTTCAAGCATCTCATTTAATTTCTTATAGTTATAATGATGAAGTGTACATGATTTGCGCAATAAAGTGGAACACTCTAGGAAATTTAGTAAACTTTCTAGATTGTGTCCAATAATTACCCTTAAAAGAAAAAACAACATAAAGAAATTCGTTTGTCAACACCAGGGTTATTTGTGAAAGTAAGTTTAAACACAGGTTATTAGTTGATTTTAATTGTGATTAACTCCTTCAATAACCTATATAAGATTATTAGATCAACTTATCTAATTTTCATGATTAATTAAATTACTTAAGCAATATGATCAATGAAGCATCTACAATCACAAATATAAATACTTAAAAGTAAAGCAAGTAGAGTTAGAGAGTTTGCACTAGGATTTTTAGTGAGGAAATCCCAATTGGTAACATAGACCAACTGTTTGCGTGGGAAAAACCTCATGGATTGTGTAGTCCAAAGTAAACCGATCCACTATGTTTGAAACAAAGTACAATGGACTTTGACTCAAACTCACACCCTATCGTTTTACCAAACACAATTACTGACAATCTTTTGGGTTTGCGACATCCTGTCCAACGACACTTAACCTCAGGCTTACTTTTGATCTCTATAGAAGGATTGCTGGTAAATCAAACAACACTCCTCGAATGCTTTGACCTTTTCAAAGTGTGATAGCTTCACCTCTGTTCTTTAAGATCTGAATTTGATGTAGAAGAATTAAATCCTGTTTTTTGGAATCTCTAAATCTTCAATTAAGCTACAATTTTGATATGATAGAAAACAACACTACTAAATCACTAATGAATATATGTGTGTGCTCTCAAAAATACATTCAGAAAAATCAGATTTGATTTTCTGAAAAATATCTCTCTAAAAGCTTTCTCAAAATATTGAATTGATGTTCCTCAAAGCCATCCCTCAATAATAAATGAAAGAGGAATTATGTATAAGTTTAGAAGACCTAAGCATACTTGTAAACCAAGTACAATTCGTGTGTAGCTTTTAAAAGAAAGTCTAGACTAAAAAGGAATCCAAACGGAATAGGAAACTGAAGTTACCTAACATGTCTGCAAGCCTTGAACCGGTATAAGATGTGGCTACTAGTTCAAGAAGGACAGTGAATAATCCGACGTACTTTGGCTACTGGTTTAGAAACTCCAGTGACAAATTCCTTTTACTCAGTAGTTGGCTACCGGTACAAGGAAAGTGGTACCGGTCCCCAATAGACAAAAGTGATCATGTTGTTTCATTCAACCTTCTAAATCTTCCTAAGTGTTCTCACTCACTTATATACCTTTCCAAAGCATTATTCTCAACATTCCAGATGAACACTTGAACTTCTTTAAATCCACATCCGATCTTCAATCTTAAAATTTTGAACCGAAAAATTACAACTCGATCGAACTTGTTTTGACAACGAAATTAGCCAATACAAAATATATATCTCACAATCTCCCCCTTTGGCAATTTCATGACAAAACCCTAAAAACAATATGTAATCTACCGAAGCAGAAAAAACAAATTACAATGATTGGAAACGGAACCTTTTGTGAACTCATGAAGTTTCAACACTTGTAGCATCTTCAACCTTTAACCTGCACATTAGCGCAACAAAACTACCTGTGAAGCTTAATCAAGAAAGTAAACACAAACATAAAATAGCAATTAAAGCTAATAATACCTGAATATCAATGCAATGCAAATGTAATGATCACTTGTTCTCCCCTTTAATGCAAAAATATCTCCCCCGCCCCCCCCCTCCCCCTTGAATGAGGAGTCTCTCCCCCTGAATGATAATACTCTCAAATCTCTCCCCCATTTTGTCACAAATTAAAAAGGGTTTAAAGGAAGAAATATTCTAGAAGAAGGAAGCAACCAACTGTATAGAACTTGTAAATTGAATCCAATGAGAAAATAGACTCCACAAGACTATACATATCAACACAAATAACTAAGATCAATTCAATGATGTTCCACAAACTTAATAAGTGTAGTAAAATCACTTAGTAAAATCACTACCAAGTTCCAGAAACATATGATCTGTCAACTATTTATATTTTAGATAAAAAATCAATGATATCATATATCCTTAGAAATCAAACAATCCCTTTTTTTAATTTCTTTCATTGTGCTCCATTTTTCTTTTTACACATTGGAGGCTTTCACACTTATGGGCAGCCAGCGCTTTCCCTTATTCCCATTTGCTCCGAGTCATGGTAGTTTCGGATAAATCCCAAAGGTAGCCTTTTCCACCTCTTACATTTTTTTTTTTTCTTTCAAAACAACAATTATTTTTTATTCTTTTTCAACACTTTTTCATTCCAAGCTGTTTTTCATTATTTTTCAATTTTTTTTTTTTTTTTCAATTCACTCTTTGGGTCTAAAACATATATATCAATTTTAAATTCCAAGACAATGATTAAGCATATCAACATCATCTTTGACCAAAACAATGACATCAAACAAAAGTAAATGTACTATCAATGATCTATTTATTATACGAACTAAGTAAGCAAAACCAATTTTATCAATTCATAGCCATAGTATGTTTTACACATATAATCCATATGTCATAAAACTCCTTGTGTTCAACATATTCAATCAATATGGGTTGATTAACTTCCCAAAAACTTAATCTAGACACTCGAGATATGTTTTAAGATCCTTTCTAGATTATGTCTTTGCAATGCATCTAATCAAGACAAGAAATGCCTATAGATTTCCTAAGGTGAGAAAAATTAAGAGCCTCTAATGGCTTAGTGAGAATATTAGTCAAATTCTGATCAATATGCACTTTTTCTAAAGACACAATATTTTGTTCAACAAGTTTCCTAAGAAAATGATGTTGAATATCAATATGCTTAGTCTTAGAATGCAAAACTGGATTATTTGGAATATTAATTGTACTAGTATTATCACAAAAGATAGCAATAGTACCTTAATCAACTCCATAGTCCAGAAGCATCTGTTTCATCCAAAACAATTGTGTGCAACAACTTCCAACAACAATGTATTCATATTCACAAGATGATAAAGATATGCAATTTTGCTTCTTGCTATACCATGAAACAAGATTAGTACCAACATAGAAACCACCACCTGAAGTACTCTTTCTATCATCCTTGTTACCAGCACAATCAACATCAGTATAGCCTTTAATCTCAGAGTTAAATTCAGAAGAATAACGCAATTCATAATTCAATGTACTATTGACATAACGAATAATGCACTTAACTGTAAGAACGTGTTGTTCTCTAGGATCAGCTTGATACCTAGCACAAACACCTACACTAAATGAAATATTTGGCCTATTTGTTGCTAAATACAACAAGCTACCAATTATATTCCTATACAAGAAAGGATCAACCTTGTTAGGATCAGAGTCTCTATCTAACTTGGATGAAGTACTAATAGGAGTTTGCACATGCTTTGAATCTTTCATACCAAATTTCTTGACTAGCTCATTTGTATATTTTGATTGAGATATATGAAAATCCCATCATCAAGTTGTTTCACTTGGATACCTAGAAAGAAATTTAGTTCACAAACCATGCTCATTTCAATAGTATTACGCATATTTCTAGCAAAATCATGAACAAGATTATCACAAGTAGCACAAAAAACAATATCATCCACATAGATTTAAAAAACAAGAAATTCTTTTCCTTTCCTGAAAATACACAATGTTTTATCCGCTCCTCCTCTTCAGAAACCCTTGTGCATTATATAAGAAGTTAACTTCTCATACCATACTCTAGGTGCTTGCTTTAAACCATAAATAGTCTTTTTAAGATAAAAAAATATAATCAGGATTATGTGGATCAATAAAACCTCTAGGTTGTGTTATATAAACTTTTTCCTGCAAAATACTATTGAGAAAATCACTTTTTACATCCATTTGAAACAATTTGACTTTAGAAGTGATGAATGACCAACTATTTGCGTGGGAAAAACTTCGTGGACTGTGCAGTCCAAAATAAACTGATCCACTATGTTTGAAATAAAGTACAATGGACTTTGACTTAGGCTCACACCTTATCGTTCTACCAAACATAAATTGTTGATAATCTTCTGGCTTTGTGACATCTCATCCAATAGCACTTGACTTTAGGCTTACTATTGATCTCTGTAAAAGGATTGGTGGTAGATCAAACAACACTCCTTGAATGCTTTGACCCTTTCAAAGTGTGATCGCTTCACCTCTATTCTTCAAGATCATAATTTGATGTAGAAGAATTAAATCATGCTTTTTATAATCTTTGAATCTTCAATTAAGCTCCAATTTCGATGAGACAGAGAACAACATTACTAAATCACTCATGAATATATGTGTGTGCTTTTAAAAATACATTTAGAAAAATTAGATTTGATTTTCTAAAAAATATTTATCTAAAAGCTTTCTCAAAATATTGAATTGATGTTCCTCAAAGCCATCCCTCAATAATGAATGAAAGAGGCATTATATAGAAGTTTAAAATACCTAAGCATGTGAGATGTAAATTCTGTAATTGGCAAATTTTGGTGTCAAAACAAGTTTGATCGATTTGTAATTTCAAGTTACCATATCAGGATTGAAATCAACTGCGGAATTGGAAGGTTGTTCAAAGATACTATACTGAGATCATTAAGAAAGGAAAAAATAACACTTTAGGAACAAATCTAAAAAGGTTAGGATACATTCCATACTTGTATATTTTCAGATCTTACCAAAATAGCATTTTCAAACCTTCAGAGCTTTTGGATTCAAGTCTGGCAAACTTGAACTGGTTCAAGCTTTTGGATCTGGTTCAAGATCTTCAACGTTGTTTCGAAATTCCACTACCATTCTTGAACCGGTTAATCCTTTCTTGAACCAGTTCAAGGGTCTTCTACAGTTTAGGTAACTTTTGAATACTATCCTCATTTCTTTCCTAGTTCGTTTACAATTATACCAAAAGTCCTTTGCACGAAATCTACTTTATTTTTGAAGGATTAGGTCTTTGAAAATTGTATATATAATATTCAACTAGGTTTAGTACGGCTTTTGCATTACAACTTCAAATTTTTTAAAAGCATTATAGTTATATTTTATAGAGATCAAGACTAAAATTGAGGTCAAGTGCTGTTAGACAGGATGTCGCAAACCCAGAGGCTTGTTAGTGATTAGCATTTGGTAGAATGATAGGGTTTGAGCCTGATCAGTCAAAGTCCATTGTACTTTATTTCAAACATAGTAAATCGGTTTACTTTGGATAACATAGTCCACGAGATTTTTCCCGCGCAAATAGTTGGTCTATTTTACTGATAAGCGCCGAATATTGCATATTCAAGCGCCCTTATTTGCATTAGTTAAGTCCATTAGTTGATTATACTGTATAGATTAGCTTTAATTGCATACTTTTGTCTATTTTCAGGTTAGTTCCCCAAAGAGAGTTAAAAGTGACACTTTAATGAGTTTTTGAAGATAAAAGTACGCCGTTGCCGGGGACCTTCGTTGTGGCCAAGCCAGTGTTTCATCGAGCTCGTGGTTATCCCTACTAAAAGCACTGAGAGCAATGATCATGTCATCAGGCTGTGTTGAATGCAGGTCAAGAAGTGTTTCTGGGCCAAAGTTCAAGCAACCGTGTGTGATGACCCTGTTTTTAGGCCAGCGTGTCCTGTGATGAACCGTAAGGATGATCCGATAACGGATCCGAATGCGGAAGCAAAAACAGAAAAGGACTCTAAGAAGTCAAAGTGACCTTCCATGAGGTTGTGAAACTCAACAAGAACTGATGCGGAAGCAAAAGATCGAAAATATAACAAATAAGCCCCCAGGGGCAAAATAGTCATTTCTGAAAACTATAGATTCGGGTGCCACCGAGCAAACCACTGGAAGGATAACGAAAAACTAATCAAGATGGACTCAAGAATCGCATGATTCGGAGTCTGAACGAAGGAGAAACGGTATGACGAAGAAATATGAGCAGTTAAAGCAAAAAGGGTAAACTGGTAATTATCTAGGAAGAACCGGGTGCAACCGAGCACACCGTTAGAAAGACAGCAAAAAATTAGTCAAGTTCAAAAAAAAATTCACTTGAATCAGAGTCCGGACGAAGGAGAAAAGCCCAAAAGAAGAATTGACGTCGCGGCGGCCCGACGAGGGGCCATGGCGCCCATGCGCGAGCCCACCGGCGTGCATGCTGGCGCCCAAAGACATGGCTGGTGGCAGCCCTTGGCTGCTGCTTCATTTTTTTTTTTTATCTGCCCAGAACTGAGGCTTGAAACGGAGGTCAAGACGAGTTTTTCTGAAAAACACGAAGAAGAAACCCACCCTAAAATCAGGTTTTCTACCCGTTAAAGCGGACGGAATCGAAAAAAAATCACTGTGAAATCCCCAAAATGCCCCTAGATCAGAACTGAACAAGAGGGTCATAAAGCTGCTAAATGAAAACTGGAAGCTGAAACTTCACGAGGGATTTACGGTACCAAGACGACATTTTTTGGAAAAACATGAAGAAGAAACCCCCCCTAAAATCATGTTTTCTATTCAACCATGTCAAAATAAGAAAATAAAACTGATGTGAAAGGTCCATAATGCCCCTAGATCAGAATATGCAAAAAAAATGCGAAATGAATTCACAAGAGGCTCAAAACACAAACGATAAGGTTTTGCCCGAAAACGACCATGCACGCAAACGTAACTTACCTATTTGGACACGCTACAATGGTCCACAACTTAAAAATACCACCGATACAAAATCCGACCCCCCAACGGGCAAAAAGGCAAAAATGGAACTTGGAATGAAAACTCGGAATCCAAAAATACAAAATGGGATCAAATGACCGTTTGGCCCTTGGCCACACTTCAAACATGATTAATAAGACCCTATAAAAGAATGAAAATGGAATTCCCACACCCGATGCAACCATGGTGAAGCAATGACTTGCGATTTTTCAAGGTTTTCATAATATTTCATGAAGTTAAAAAGTTGTATAGAATACAATACACATGTCATTGGCCTCCGGCCTCATCTCATACATGTCAAATACATTGAAAGGAGTGCACTTATGTACACATTACATATATGGAATCAAATATACATATTTTGACATATAAGTCTACAAAATAACATTTCATGCTAACATTTGCATGAAATGGAAACTTGAAAGCTACACGATATCCAAGGAATGCTAGGCTTCACAAACCAAGTCTTCGTACCTGAAATATATCCCAGTATCGTAGGGGTGAGTAACATAAAGCTACTCGTAGGAGATGAGCATGCATCGACCTAGCATTTTACAAATTTATCACCTTAAGGTGAAACATGTTAAAGGGGCTCATGCCACCTAACGTCTATGTCCAAGTGAGACTCGGGGAGCATCCTAAGCTACCTTAGAGTCTAAGAAACAAGAATCATGATATACATACGTGTGTGAAACGAATCATGGTTGGGATAATCCAAAGAACACGACAAGAAGAATGCTTGAGCATAGATTAACATGAATTGCATTTTCAATACAATTGAACTAGGTCTAGAGTAATCCATACAACATGACAAAAGCATATTTGAATACAAGTTAACAAGAATCACATTATCCATGCAATTCAACAACAAAAGAGCATGTTATACAATGCAACAAGGTTTAAGTTCTCAAAGCCATCAACTTAGAATCTAAAGCACAAAATAACAGTAGTGGTTCATGCCACCTAACGTCTATATTATAAATGAATTAATAGGATCAATCCTAAGCTTTATTAGAACGTCAAAATATGATTTTTCAATATCGATGCAATTTAACCAACATTGGAACTGCCAATACAACGCATAAAGCATAATTTCGTAAAGTTAACATCCTGTAACTTAAAATGGAACGACAAATAAGAAACAACAAGTTACAACATCATCTAGTTATCAACTTGAAAATGAAATGCGAAATCAAACAAGGTGGATACTCGGACGTCACGCCGGATTAGACCGACAACATAGTTACTTTAGGGTTACTAGCCCATGGGTAACCTCCCTATGTGCGCACTAGACTATATATAGAGGGACTATCCCCCGTACTAGAACTACGTCCTAGCCATAGCCAAACAACGACAACCCCAAGTTTCCAAAATCAACAAGTTGTGCAACAACGCATATATCAACAAGAATATGCAAGATAATCAACTATCTACCAAGCACAACCAAAATTGGAAACCTATACAATGCATGCTCTAAGTCCACAACTAATATGATGTGATGAATGTCGAATCTTCAGTGTGCGATTCGTTACACGCTATGCATTAATGATGTTAAATACGAAGTGTGCAAATCATTACACAAGGCAACAATATATTCAATAAGAAAAACATATTCTCATGAGTACAAACATAGCAACTATGTTATCCAATGTTCAAAACATAACCAAATGAATATACAACAAGTCTAAGTCCATGATTTGAATATAGAAAGCACTTCTAAAACATAACTAGATCAT